GATTTCTTTCTCCCCACAGCACTGTGGTGCCGGCACGGCCTTCAAGCGTGTGTCGGGCACGGGCACGGATGTTGACATCGACGTGAAGCCCGCTACCTTGACCGATCCCGCTCTGGTACAAAAATCAGTGAGTCTATCTCGCACTGTGCGGAGCTACGACTACGTGCTCTGCGTTTTCCGTCCCTTTGGATCCGAGGTTATCCTCGCCAAGATCACGCTTCCTCGGATGAGGACGGTCTCCTACGTCCGTCTTTTCGGCCTTGTTCTCGCGCCCTTAAGCTCACTCACGCCCAGTCACTGTCGAATGTTTGACGACATCTTCGTCCCTCTTGTCTACCTCCCGGAACCCTGCCCTTGTACGTGCTCCTTTTTCTGTCCTGTCTTCCCCGACACCCATGTCCATCCGCCCCCAGCGACCCAAAAGAGCGAGAACACATCTGGCTGCCACGATCGGAAGCAACCTCGTCTCACGAACCCCTCGACTCGCCCCTGGCGGACGGGATGTACATCGACGTCGGCGATGTCCTCCTGGTCCGTGTCAACGCAGACGAGTACATGGCGATGAGCCTGGACCAGCCGAAGGCGCATGAGGGCGTTCAACAGGCTCGTGAGGTGCGCCTGCCCCCATATACCGTCATCGTGAGTCTCTTCCCTACATTCCCCTGTTCGCTAATAATAGCTTATGTCTGGTTTTGGTTCCAGTGCTCGATGTCAGAACAGGGACTTGGCCCAGTTTTGTGGTGGAGAAACGCCGGCGTCGAAAAAATGGACAAAGGCTGACGCGTAATCACACCGCACCTGGTTCGCCCACATCCTTCGGGAACACTATCCCATCCACTGTCCTCACCATACAGAACTACGCGAAGGATCGAATCCCAGACTCCCTCCAAACCAGTCATTTGACGTCCTCACGTGGTCCTGCGCGCCGAAAAGCATCGCTTCAACCCATGCACGACAAGAATTTTCTCGCGGTATATTCGTGGAGGTGTCCGGTAAAGCGGCAGGGGTCACAACTAGAGTTAAGTATTCGACTATTTTTACCCTTGCATTTTTCTCACGACTTTTGCGCAGGCGGCGGCTGGAGATACCTTCCTCTCGATCAGTCCTCGATACCACTCGCCGGGCGTGCTTTCGGATCGCGCCTTTGCGCCGAGAACCCACGCAACTTCCTCCCCGACTCTGGCCAACTCGCCTACCTGTCCACACCGCCGCCTACTCGCATATTCACGGTTCCGCCGGGTGTACATTGCATGCCTCTGGCGGAACGCAGCTCTCCCTTCACGCCTGCCGCGAACACGTCTGTTGTCATCGCGCCATCACTCCGTGTCGAGCGAGGATTCGACCATGGCTTCTTCTCATCGCTCATGGGCACGATCGCACGGAGGCTATGAGGGAGCCGCGAAAAGTACAGAGTGGGCGACGCGTCGACGAACACCACGTTTTTGAGGGCCCTCGCAGGAAACCAGGCGTTTATCGATGGAGACGTCGAGACAGGAGTCATTCTGGTAAGCCTCACCGCTTATTGCGAGGTCTATACCAGCTGACGTATACTTTTGGAAACACTTCCACCAGCTCTTCCCACCCAAATCTGAACCTCCCGATGAAGCTCTCGCACACGTCCTGCACGACGAGTCAATTCGTGCTCCCCCCAATCTTAGGACGACACTCACTGCTCGTGCTTCAGCGCGACGTTTACGACAACCATCACCGTCGAACCCAACACGACGGGACCCTGTCCGTCACCGCCCGCCCCTTCCCGTCCACTGTGGCGGCCTCTCGCCCGGACGGTTTCTCGCCCACCTTCGCTGCCGTATCCGCCGAGCTCGGATCCCATCGCCGGCGCACGTGCCCGCACGTCCATCATCCCTCAGCCCGCGCCTGCCTCGCCTTCGCGCACGTCCAGCTCATCCATGCAAGCGCGATCTAGCCGCGGTCTACGCGCTGCTCCGACTCGCGGGCGCGCAGCACCACGTCCCCGCTGCCCCACTGCGTTGTCCTCGCCCTCCGCCTCCGCCTCGCTCTCCACGTTGTAGTAGCATACGAGTGAATATATTTTCATCTCTAACAATGCATGATTATACCCAATCGAGGGAGGGTGAGCACAGGTGGAAATACTGTAGGCTCAGACCGCGCAGGTATCTAGTGTCCTTGGTCACACGCCGCGCCGTGTACTTCCGGTTTGCTCAGGTTGTAATTTCGTTCACTTCCACTGGAGCTAACGCCCGACCGGCCTGGTTTACTTATGGGTATGTGCATTATATAGCGTACGACAAGACAGAACACGGAAAGCATAAAACCGAAAGCACAACAGCAATGTACACATCCAGCACTTTTGGGCGTCGCCGACGCCACTAGTCCGTACCCTCCACCTCCACGACAGACATCATCGACGGCTCCGTCCGCGGCCGCTTCACCGCGCGACGACTCCTCTTCCGAGTCCTCCTGCTCCTGCGTCTGCGGCGGCAGCGACGTCGCGTATCCCTCGCCTTCGTCGTCACTCTCCTCCGACAGCGACTTGCGCTTCGCCCCCTGGCGCATCGGCGACGCCGCCTTCCCGGCCGATGTGTCGTCTTTGAGCGTTTTGATTTCTCGCGTCGGCGTCGCCTCCTTCGTCGCGCGAGGCTCGAGCTCCTCCACCGGCTCCTCCACAGGACCCACATCGATCTCGCCCAGAGCCTCCGCCGCCCAAGCACACATGTCCTGCGACAGCGCCGGGAGCTCCTCGCCCTCCTGCCGCGCCCGCGACAGCACCTCCGACCGCCGCTGGAGCTTGCCGCGCTGGCTCCCCTCGCTCGCGGCCGACCGCGGGCTCGACAGCACGTGGCCGTCCCTGAGCCTGGCGGCGGCGGCGGCGGCGTCGCGCACCGGGGTTGCCGCGCGCTCGGGCGACGGTGGGTACACGGCGAGGATGAGGCTTGGGTCGAGAGACGTGCATGAGCCTGCTGCGGAGCGCATCCATGCGGCCTGCTCGCCGTCCATTCGGAACAGGGACGCCGTCCTGGGAAGCCTTCGTAGGCCCAGAGTTAGCGGAGTGTCTGGCGGAGGGGTGTGCGCGGGCTCCGCCGCCGGCGCGCCGTCCGCGATGGAGGGGGCGGAGGGGAGGGATTGGCGCGACGCAGGGTGGAGCACGGGCGGGGTCGCGGGGAGCAACCGAGGCTGGTCTTCGAGCTCGGTCTCGGTCGAGAGCCAAGGGTGGTCCAGCGCGCTGGTGAGCGACATGCGCTTGCTCGGGGGGGACACGGGGAGCGCGCGGATGAACCGCTCGGCTGTGAGTGTGCGGGGTGCTGGTCAGCTCGGGGGGCCGGGACGAGGGAGGGGGTACGCACCCTGATCGCTCCCATCCTGGTCGTACAGGAGCGCCCGCTCCGCCTGGCGGGTCATGATCATAGTATGTATGTCCGTGTTCGGCAGGTCTGCGTTGAATGGGATGCCCCTGCGTGAGCCTGAGGAGAGGGATTGGGAGTCGGCACGCGGCCAGCGTTGTGTCGATTCCGGCGTCCAGACGGACGCTCCCGCTATCGACCAGGTTTAAGTATCTGTCCGATGTCGGGAATGCGTCGTGCACGGCCACTTCCGGCGCGACGTATACGGGGGTGCCGCAGAACGTCTGGGCGCACGTGTTAGCGACGAGGAACTCTGCCTTACATAGGGATGTGCACCTTGAGGATCGTATGTGAGTCCATCGCCTTCGCTAGCTCAACATCCGCGGGCGGATACTGGTCCGTCGGGAGGATTTTCTCCGGCTCCAGGCCACGGTGAACGATCCTTTGATCGTGCACATGCTGCAGACCGTGATCAGAGGGCGATGAGGTGGTAAGGTGAGAGATGCTTGCCGACAGGGCGTCGCAGATCTGGTACGTGATCCGCGTCCGCTGTGATGACAGTGAGCGTGGCATATACCAAGACAATAAATGAGGCGGAGGCGCACGCAGCTCGCGGTCTGTGTTGGTGATACACTTGAGCAAGTCTCCCGCCAGAGACGAGTTCCATCACCAAACCTGCATACTCAGCTCGTCAGAGCTGATCTGGGGGTGTCGTCAGCGAGCGATGCAGTGCGGTGCCGGGAGATCACATACCCGCGAACGTCCCGCCCATCGACAAGTCGGCAACCTTGACTGAGTGTGCTGCCTGCAGGTGTGCCGTTGCGTCAGTCAGCAGGGCAGGCGCACAGAAGAGCGGGCGCGGACGCACGGATGGCTCGCGAGCCTTTGTCGAGCACGGCGTGGTTGAGGCGGGACTTGCATGCGCTGAACAGCCTCAGTGCGGGTTCGCGGCGTTGTAGGAGATGAGCACGCCCCGCAAGTAGTCGTCGGCCGGGTGTTCGGTCAGGGACACGAGCTGGGTCGCCACCTGTGCCTCGAGGGGCTGATTTACCTCCACCGTGGGTGCGCGCCTATCCGGGACGAGATGAGCGAGCGAGCGCATACAGCGGGAGAGGCTTACGTACGCGAATGACTCTTGTTGTGCATACCCTTTGTAAGGCGGGTCGATTGAAGCCGGGCTCGAGTAGATGGTCTGGGGACGACGCACCAGAAATGCACCGTAGTAAATTCTGGCCACGGTTGCGGGAGCGGTGGACAGAGGTGGAATATCCAGGGACGGGAAGGTGAGCTCGAGACGGTGACCGCGTGCTTTATTATTATTATTATTCTCATTCTATCCCTATGTGTCACATATGCGCGTGTAACTACACAGCTAAGAACGTATCCCGCATTCGTTTGAGTACATGTGCTATGTAACGGGCCTGCGCCCGTAGGCAGTTGCAGAAAGTCCAGCGGCCGCAGGCGCCGCGAATCGTTCAGACGACCGAGTCGTGCCACGGCGGAATCGCCGCGAGCGCATATGGGATGGGGTAAGTGGGCTTGTCGGTTCCGTAGGACGGAGCGCCGGAGCGCGACGAGCTCTCACTCGACGTGGAGGAGGTGGGAGACATGGGGCGTGATGAACCGAGATGGGACCCCGCAGGCGACGCGCGTTGGTACGACCGGGTCAAGCCAGGCAAGGGTATGTAAACGGAAGGGGCAGGCGACGCGCGTGGACTGTGCCACGACCGGGTCAAGCCGGGCCCGCAACCGGTAGGTGCGAGTGGGGGGGGAAGGGGGGGAGGTCGGGGAGCGTTTCGTCCGCGTCCGAACGTGGGGGGACGTACGTCGGGCGCGAGGGTGTTCCACAGCGCCTCGAAGTGGCGCGCGTTATGGCGGTAGCGGTGGCCTCGCGCGCGCGCGCGCCTCGCGTGGGTTTTGTAGCGCTTCGCGATCCCGGCCTGGAGGACGTCGGAGACGGTGAGGCGGACCTCGGTGGTAATGGGCGCGACGAGGTCGAGCGCGGTGAGGGAGGTAAAGGGGGCGTCCTCGCCGGCGATGATGTCGTCGTAGCGCTCGTCGTGGTCTGTGAGGTCCCAGCCCGAGGTGTCCGGGGGGCAGTCCGACGGCTCGAACGCGGTGTGGTTGAGCGCTAGGAACGCGCGGATGGCGGGGAGGGGGTCGTCGGGTCGCGTGAGGAGCGCCGGTACCATGGGGGTCTGGGAGGACCCGCGCCAGTAGTACGCGCACTCGAACAGTACGTGTTGGCGGTCGTGCAGTGGGGAGCCGCGCGGGTAGTGTCCGCACGTGCAGTCCGTAGGCTGGGCGGCCTTCGGACGGTAGCGCGCCCGGTAATCGCCCGTGAACGCGTGCCCAGTGAGGACGCGGCAGAGCTTGGAGTACGACCGGATGGATGCGTCTCCGAAGCGTCGGATGAGGGACGCCGACGACGCAGGGTCGAAGACGTGCATCGCTGGGTGGTGGATGTAGTTGCGTCCCCACCACTCGGGGATGGGGCGAGGCGGCTGGCCAGGAGTGTGCTCGAAGGCGAGCTCGCGCCACATGTTGCACGTTTCGACCGCGATTGCGCGCTTCGCGTAGGAGAAGTGCATGCGCGGGTGGGGGTCGGGAGCGACGTCGCCAACGAGTTTGTCGACGGCCTCGTTGCCTGGGACGCCTTCATGCGAGGGGACGTACGACAGGTGGAGGTGTGCGTCAGGGGAGGAGGAGAGCCAGAGGCGGATGAGGGACGCGGCGAGGAGGAGGTCGCCGGAGCCGGATTTGGGTTTAAGGAGCGACTGGAGTGCGGCCAGCGAGTCCGAGAAGACGTGGAGGTGGGTGGCATCGGCGCGCTTGAGCGTAAGTGGGGAGAAGAACACGAGGGACGCGGTGATCGCGCGGATCTCGGCGTCGGTGGAGAAGCCGCGGCCGGAGGGCGCAGCGTGCGACGCGCAGAGGGTGGCCTCGTCCGGGAAGTACAGCATGTACCCCGCGGCGGTGTGAGAGCCATCGTGCGTGGCTGATCCGTCGGTGAATACGACCGCGGTGTTGGGGTCGGCGTGCGCAGCGGCGATGCGCGGGAGGACGACGTTCGCGAGGAACGCGGCCTGGGCGTCGGCGTCGATCTTCTTTGGGTGCTCCAGGTTGAAGTGGATGCGGTCCGCAAACTCGTCGAGGATGCGGGCGCCGGGGGTGGCCTCCACGTTGAGGACGTCGAACTGGGTGTCCGACAGGGGGCGCGTGAGGGCGTCAGGGTGGTGGGGGAGGAGCGAGGCGGCCCCGACGGCCGAGTGGTACATGTCATGCGCAGGCGCGCGCGTGGGTGGGTATGCGGGGAGCGGGAGGGAAGTGGGAGGAGGGGGGTAGCGGCCCGGGAAGAGGAGGCGGACCGGGTGCGACGCCATGAGCGTGTCGATGCGCAGCCGGTACGACGCCTGCATCTTGCGGCAGAAGAGGCGAACCGGGACGACGCCCGCGAGTGCGTGGAGCGCGCCGGTGGGGGTCGTGGAGAAGGAGCCCGTGATCCACCGGAGGGCGTGATGCTGGGCTGTGGCGAGGACCTTGAAGTTGTCCTTGAACCCCTTGGGGCGGGCGTACACCTGGCACCCATACGTGAGCACCGGGCGGATGCACGAGACGTACAGAAGGCGGCGCTGCGAAGGGTTGACGCCGCGCGCCGAGGAGCCGAGCATGTGGGAGGCCGCGCAGGTGGTGCGTGCGCGGTGCGCGTAGTGGCGGATGTGGGCGCGCCAGTCGAGTTTGCTGTCGAGCAGGAATCCGAGGTGGCGGATTGCCGTGGGGGGCTTGAGAGCCGTGAGGAGTCCGGGTAGGGGGATGGCGCGTGTGGCGTGGGGGCGGTGTGCGCTGTGTGGGGGGATGAAGTGTATGCCCTCCGTTTTTTCGTGCTCGAGGAGGTACCCAGCGCGTCCGAGGGAGGTGGTGAGCGTTTCGTAGAGCGGGCCGATCAACTCGAGGTTGGTGGAGATATCCGGGGACGCGACCATGAGGTTGCCGTCGTCGACGTAGAAGTGGTGGTACGGGCGTGCGCCCCCCAGTGGGGAGGGGAAGCGGCACGCGCGGTCGAGCGCGAGCAGCACCGGGGTGAGGGCGAGCGCGGAGAAGGTCGGGGAGAGCGCGCTGCCCTGGCCGACGCCGACGCGCGGGCAGTCGAATGATTCCGTAGTGAGGTCGTTGAACCGGAACGACGACCTGCGGGGGCCGAGGTACGCGCGGAGCCACGCCGTGAAGGGGGCGCCGAAGCCGCGGCGGGCGCAGACGGCGACGAGTAGGTCGGGGTTGACGGACGGGAAGAACTGGCCGATGTCGCATCCGACCATCGTGACCACCATTTTCTTCTGCCAGGCTTGGTGTATGTAGTTGACCGCGTAGGCCACCGCATCGGTCGTGGAGCGCTGTGAGTTGGACCCGAACTGGCACGGGTGAAGGATCCGTGCTTGTGGGCCGCGAACTGTACGCGCGCGTTAATCACCTTCTCCATCCATTTGGCGATCGTGGAGAGGAGGACGATAGGGCGGTATGCCTTGACCTTGGTGTAGTCAGGCTTGGACGGTTTGGGGATGACAACGGTGGTTGCGCGGCGGAACTCCTCAGGCCAGACGCCGAAGCGGAAGCACGCGTTGAAGAGCGTGCGGAACCCTTCGAGGAGTAGGGCACCGGTGGTGGCGGGGCAGTCGTTGTCGACTACGGAGGGGTGGGTGGGGGGGAGGGGGGAGGGGGGTTGGAGGGGGCGGGGGAGGGGGAGGGGCTCGGAGAGTCCGGGGGGCCCGGCGGTCCGGGCGGGAGTTCGTCAGACCGGATGAGCGCCTTGAGCATCTTCCACGTGAGGTGGTCAGGGCCCGGCGCGGACTTGGGGCTGCAGGTGGCGAGGGCGTCCGTGAGCTCCAGGGCAGAGAACGGCGGCCAGTCCCGGGCGGGGTCGGACGGGAGCTCGTCCACGATGGAGAGGTCGCAGGGGCGGTCGGCGGCCTTGTGGAAAGTGCGGTCGAACTCCTCGGCGAGATCGGTGTCCATGGTGATGACCGAGTCGTCAGCGCGACGCATCCCCGCGGAGGAGGTCATGCGGCGGGGCTTGACCCAGCTCAGGAGGTCCCACACGCGTTGTGAGCAGGTGGAGACCTCGAAGAGGCGCTCTTCGAAGTGCGCGTTGCGCTCGCGGTTGAGCAAGCGGTAGTACTCACGTCGGGCGGTGGCGATACGGTCTGCGGCGGCTGCGGGGTTGAACTGGTGACGCGCGAGGAACTCCGGAGAGAGCCGGGTGCGCGCAGAGAGGCGGCGGGCGGCGTGGCGCTTCTGCCAAGGTGGTGTGTTTTCGGCCGTGATACGGGAGAGTTCACGGCGTGCAGCTGTGAGGCTCTTGGTCCACCAGCTTTTGGACGCGGGGGAGTAGCGGCGCGGGGAGGCTCGGGCGGCGTACTCGCGCTCGATGACTCCCATCACGTCTGAGGCGAGCGCGGCGGTCTCTGCGGCGGAGGAGGGGGGGGTGCGGTCGAACACGTCGAGCAGGCCGGCGGCGACGTCTGCCAGCATCTCGTCGACATCTTCCTGGGCGACGCGGGCCGGGCCCAGTGTGGAGAAGGCCGCCGTGGGGATTTCAATGGCGAGGGGGGCATGGTCTGAGAGCCCAGCGTGGTTGGCGTGCACGGAGCAGGCCCGCCCGCCAGAAGGTCCGAGGTCCAGGCGAGGTCGATCACTGTGCCGCGCAGAGTCGGGTCGTGCGGCCTGTGCGTCGGTACGTCCACAGGAGAGAGCAGGTGGGGTACGCCCAGGGCCGCGGCAACATGGTCGATGCGTGGAGGAGGGCGTCCGGCGAGGTGGTGGGGTAAGAGGGGTCCCACTGCTTCGAGTGCGCGTTGAAGTCCCCGGCGAAGACCACTACGGGAGCGGAGAGGGAGCGGTGCGGATCCAGCGAGAACTCGTAGAGCTCGGTCAGGCCGGACGTGTGGGGCTTGTCGGCCTCGTTGTAGAGGTTGACGATCGTCGCGGCGGGCAGGCCGCGGGTGGCTACGGTGATGGCCATGACGTCCCGGTGCACGAGCGCAGGGTGGATGGACACGCGGGTGGACGCGAGTCGACGGTTGACGTAGCACACGACGCGGGGGGGTTCGAGGTCCTCCGACTTCAGCGATGAGTGCTCGAGGAGGGTCCAGTTGGCAGAGTCGGCCTGCGTGCCGAAGTACTGGTCGTCGCGGGTGCGGTCGCCGCGCGCGGTAGAGTTGCCCTTGCCGCCGGGGGCGGGGATTTTCTTTATGGAAGAGTACCGTGGCTCCTGTATGAGGATGATGTCGAAGTGGGACCGGTGGGCTTGAAGGAGGGTGTGTGTAACTTTGGAGTTACGGTTGACGTTCTGGGACAGGATGCGCAGGGACGTGCGGGGGGGAAGGTCCGGGCCATAAATAACTTCGTTCAGGCGTACCGTCATCTACGCGGGGGGTTGTGGGGGGGGAGGGGCGGAGCGCGACGGGTCGGCGGCGGCGGGGTTCTTGTGCGGGCGGCGGCGGCGCGACGGGCCGGCGGTGGACCACCCCTCGGTGGCCGCGACGAGGTGGTCAGCGTGGTCGTGCATCCGCTGCACGTGGCGGTGGGCATCGCCGGCGAAGAGCTCGAAGCCGAGGCCGGGCTGCAGGTTGTTGCCCCATGACATGTTGTCAAAGTCGCGGGCGGTCCAGGTGGCGGACTGCTCCACTCGGCGTGCGTGGGGGTTGCCGAGGCGTAGGGGCAGTCCTGTATTGTCGGTCGGGGAGGGGCGTGCGGGGGCCGCGTAGGGCCCAGCGTGGGCGGCCGCGACTTCTGCCTTAGCGGCGTCGACTTGGCGGGCGATGTCGGCCTCGATGCGCGCCAGCTCCTCAGGGGAGGGCGCTTGGCGGGAGCGGCGTGGGCGAGACCGCTGGGCCCGGCTGCCCGAGGGTCCGGACGCAGGGGGCGTCGTGGGGGACGGGGACGGGCGCGGGGTCTGAGCGCGGCGCTTTGGGCAGCGCGGAGCCAGGGCCGTGTGGTCGCCGCCGCAGTTGATGCAACGGGTGCGGTCCAGAGGGGTCGGCGGCCGCCGCGCGGATGTGCTCCGCCGCGGTGTGCGGTCCCGCGCACGTCGGGCACATCGGGGCCGACCGGCAAATGGGGGTGGTGTGTCCCACCCGGTAGCAACGGCGGCATTGTGGGACGTGGACGTCCGCGCGGGTGGCTTCCGCACGGTGGGGGCCGTCGTGGAAGGTGAGGACGGAGCCCGCGAGGCGTACGGAGAGGGAGAAGTCGTGTGTGTCCTCGAGGTCTACGAAGAGGTGGGACGCCCGCGCCGTGGGGTCGCGGTTGTTCCACCGGACCGCACTCGGGCCGGCGGGGATGCAGTCAGGGCCTCCGACCAGCCCGGGGCGCCCGTGCGGTTGATCGCATCGACCAGGGCGCGGCGCGGGTCGACGGGGTGGCCTTCGGGGGATACGCGTGCGACGGCCGGGAAGACGACACCGGACCGGTACGTGTGTCGGCGCACTACGAGGACGTCGGCGGGGACGGAGAGCGCCGTCGCGAACATGTCCCGCAGGACTTCAAGCTGCTCGTCGGGTAGGACCGGGAGGTCGGTGGTGGCGGATGGGACGACTGCGTACGAGGTCCCGCGGATGGAGAGTTCCACGGAGCGGATGCGGATTCGGCCGTCGTGGCGGAGGGAGTCCAGCACCTGGACCGCCGAGGGCAGTTCGCAGAGCATGGGTGCGGCCCCTGGGTCTGTGAAGGACACGTGCAGGAGCCGCGAGTGTCCGGCGGGGAGGGCCTTCATGCGCGCCGCAGCCGCGGCCGCGGGGGACTGACGGGCAGGACGGGCCCGGGGTGCGTGCGCGGGGGCGGCCGCGGCCGCAGCGGCGGCGTATGATGGTGCGGCCGCGGGGCCGGGGTACGGGCGGGGCCTGGGGCCGCAGCGATGGGCTTCCGCTGGGTGAGGTCGAAGCCGTGCTCGAGGGCGAATGCCTTGATGAACGCTAGGACCGAGTCCGGGGACATGCCCGGCGGGCGGGGCACGGACGGGGGAGCTGGTGCGGGCGCGGGTGCGGGTGCGGGTGCAGGGGCCGCTGCCTCCCGTTCGGGAGCACGAGCCCGGGCGCGGGCGGCCGGGGCGGCGCTGGTCGCAGCCGGTGGGGGAGCGTGGGTGGATGCCTTGGCGTGGGCAGACTTTGCGTCCGCGATGATGCTCGCGAGGGAACGAGAGTCCGCAGCGCGCCCCTTGCCCTTGGCAGCGGCTGGGATGCGAGGAGGGGACGGGGACGGCGCGCGGGGGGCGGGGACCCAGCCCGTAGGCGGGACGGCGGCGGCGGCAGGGGATGATCGTGCGGCCGGGGCGGCCGGGGGTGCAGGGGGGCTGGCTCCGAACGACGCGAAAGACGCGCCAGCGCCTGCCGAGCGGCCGGGCGCGTGGATGGACGCCTCGACTCCCGCGGGCTCCACGACCATGGCGTCGAGGTTGAGGGAGGGGGTGGGGACAGCAGCGAAGGCGGCCGCCGCCTCCTGGGCCATCGCGCGCTCCGCGGCTTGCTGCGCGAAGAATTCCTGGTAGTGGCGCCGAGCTTCGCGAGCGGCAGGCCCGTGAGGGGAGAGGCGGCAGGGGTGAAGCCGGTCGGGGCGGGTCCCGAGGAGGCCTGCCCGGTGACGGCGGATGCGGGTACCCCTGACGAAGTGGGTGTGCCAGTCGAGGGGGTGGGCACCGGTGTGCGCGGGAGGGGGACGGAGCGCCTGGTCATGGCGTGCTTGGGTCCCGTGCCGCGGGCGCGGGCAGCGGAGGGGCGGGCAGCGGGGGTGGGCGCGAAGTCCGAGTCGTCGCCGGAGTCGTCCTCGGAGAGGTCGTATTCGGCGAGGAGCAGGCGGCGGGCGGCTGCGTGGTCCTCAGACGACGTCATCCGGACGTCCGGGACGTCGTCGTCTGACGCCTCGTCTTCCGACATGAGGGACGCGCACGCGGAGGACTCCGTGGCCATGTCTTCCTCAGGCAGGGCCACGCATTCCAGGCGTGCGGCGGTCGTGGCAGGGGCGTGGGCCGGGGGCGTGGGGGCTGGGGGGGGCCTGGGCCTGGGTGTGCGGAGGCAACGAGGTGTCCGTCTCGGGGTTTCCGCGGAGGAGGGGGGTGAGCCCAGGGGGGGGGTCGTTGGCTGCGTGCATGGCCGCGAGGGCCTTGGGGTGGCCTTCCGCGATGAACGGTCCGAGGTTGTCGTGGAGCCCGTGGTTGACGAGGGTGCCCGCCTGCCACGCCGTGGCGACGAGGCCGGGCAGTGGTCGACGAGCTCGCGGACGGCGTCCGGGGTGACGGTGTAAGCCGCGGCGAGGCGCGGGATGACGGTTTCCGGCTCCCACCCGTGGGAGGCGGCCTCGAAGAGCATGGCGGCGAGGGTGGCCATGGAGCCGATGCCGCCGAGGACGTTGTGAGCCGGGGGGGAGGCGTCGGGGCCCGGGGTGGGGGCGGCCCACCCGGACAGGACGTCCTGAGTGGGCGTGGCGTTCGAGGGGGCGCCCTCCGCGGATGTGGCGGTGGGCGGGAGGGCGAGCGACAGCGCGTCGCCAGCGCGGTATTCCGGGTGTTGAGGGGCTCCTTCGTCGGCCTCGCGCGTAGACGCGGGGACGTTGGAGCGGTTGCCAGAGGGAGCCAGGTCGGCGGAGGCCATATAGCCAGCGCCGTCCACATGCTCGAGGGGGAGGGGCCGGGCGTCTCGGGGGCGTCGACGGCGGGGTTGGGGACCATGGCAGCGACGTACTGGGACAGCGTCGCGGGCTCGGGGGAGCCATAAGTTACGGCCGGGGGGGAAGAGTCTGTGTCGAGGTGCGGGAACTTGGGCATGCGGGAGGGGGGGGTGGGGAAGGAGGTGAGGGAGAGGGGGTTGGAAATGGAGTCGCCGGGGTCGTGTCCGACGACGGCGGGGGGTCAGACATGGTGAGGGGTTGCTTTGTGCTTGTAGGGCGCTTGAATCGATGGTGGTGGTATGAGGACAAGGAGGGATTACGGTGACCGCGTGCGGAAAGCGGGCGCTGCGCATCAATGCATCACCGCTGGCGCCCGATCGCGTCATGTGCGGCGCGCGCAAGGTGGACGAGGGCACGTCGTGTATCCTCCCCGCCCTCTACATGGCGGGAACGCGAGCGGCACGCACCATCTCCCTCTCCCTCTCTCCCTCTGTTCACGCTTTACACCCCCTTCAGGCGTCGATGGTTTAGTGTTGCGGCGACTCGACTCGACTCGACTCTGACTCGACTCGGCCCGACTCGGCCCGAGTCAACTTTAGAGTCCTGACTCCCATAATTGACTCATCATTAAGAGTCATGCCGGGAGTCGCCGAGAGTTGATGGGAGTCTCCTTCCCAATTAGGACGATGGGCCAACAAAAAGATTTGAGCTGTATGGCGAGGGATTGCAGCAGGATGTGATTCAACGACCATTATACACCTCCTATAACCATGTAGATAGCTTCTGCATCGGTATTACATGGGCAGGAGGAGTTCAAAAAAAATCCTAAAACCCATCAAATCTGCATGGCACTGAGCAGGGTGGCCACTGAGGACCATGCTGGCGCCTATCAGGGGTGCTCGCGGTTCCCCGAGCGAGCATTTCAAGGCTGTTAATGAAGAAGATTTCAAAGGAAAGCTAGTCAATGAATGGGGATTATTAGATCGGTTATTAGGCTCGCTCCCAGTCCCCCTCGTTGACCTGCACGTCCTCGGCAGCTGCTCCCCGACGAAGTGCCGCATTGCCTCCACCGTCTCTGCCTCGCTGCTCCTCTCCACATCACACATCAAGAACCGCACCGTCTCGAGCGCGGGCAGCGCGCCAAGCGCCGCATTGAGTGTGTTCCACAGCACGCATCGCGCACCCGCATCGGCATCCGCACCGATTTGCCGTCGCGTGGGCGGGGCTCCCCCAGGAACGGCGCGCTTGTGGAGCACGCAAATGCCACAGGGGCCACTGTCGCGCAGAACACCTGGAGCGCGATCTCGCGCAGCGCGGGGAACACCTGCACCTGCGGCACGAGCACGTGTATGTAGAGCGCGAGCGCGGCGCGGACGACGCGCAGGAGGTCCCACAGCCCCGCAGCAGCGTCCGCGACGGGTGCGAAGTCGAAGGAGAGCGTGAGGTTCTCGAGGCGCAGGCAGGCGCTGAGGTCCACCCCGAGCGCGGCGTGCGGCGCAGGCTCGAGGTCGTTCACGGGCGCGTGGGCTGGGATGATAGATTTTGCTATTTCCTCCGAGGCGCCCAAAGTTGACTCTACCGGCGGCTCCGGCTTGACTTGAACCCGACTCTGGTGCTTAGTTGTGTACTAATGGGTGACTAAATTGGAGTCAGATTTTGGAGTCGGACTCTTAGTCATGGCACTTGACTCTGACTCCCGAGTCGACTCGAGTCGAGTCCCCGCAACACTACGATGGTTGATATAAATCCGAACTGCTAATGGACACCCCGGCGCCGCTTGGTGCCAGCCATCTCCTTCTCCCACTCTGCTGGTGGCGCCCACGACACGCACAACACTGAAGGAGATCCTTCCGGATGTCAATAAGCTCATTCATCCGGATCTGCCTCACCAGCTTCGCGCCCTCCGCCGCGCACCCCGCCTCGGCTGAGCACCCAATCACGGGCGCCCGGTGCTGCGTGCCGCCTTCCTCCTTCGCCCGGCCGGCCTGCCGCCCTCTAGAGAACTGCGGTGTGCGGGCGACGTCTACTCGGAGATCAGGGTGGTGGTGTCACTGTCAGTTGCGGCGACCACTAGCTCGGTGAGTACTAAGGCTGTTTGAGACTCCGGATCACTTTGCAGATCAACCCACAGATATCCGGAGTCGTGAGTCGTGGTTCATGATCCACACGGCTCCAGATCAGTGCGGATCCGGCTTGGTGAGGATCCGGATCGGGCCGGCCAGATTTTTTGTTATCCGCGGGTCATCCGCGGGTAGAGTCGCATATTTAGACCATGTATTGACGCAATATAATAACTATTCACCACTTCACTGTTACTATTCCAAGTCCTACTCGTCGTCTGAAGTATCAGAGACGTCGGAGTGAACAGGCGTGATGAGCCCGGGCAGCTCGTCCTCGACTGAGGGGTGTGCAGGAGTCACACCAACGACTCCACCTGCACCAGTGATCGTGCCCACATCCACGCTTGCAACCGTGTCCCTGCGCGCGTGCGCACCCCTGCCCGCACGCTTCCCCTTCCCCTTCCCCTTTCTCTTGTGCCTGCGCCTGCGTGTCTGCGACACGGGACCTGCGCCCCCACCTGCCGTGCCCATGTCTGGCCCCAACATCAACTCCGCAGGCGACTTTGAACCAGTGCTCGCCTCCGGGCTGCGATCCTCCTGCTCCCCCTCATGGGCTGTGGGGGGGCGCGCGCTACCTGTGGCCGCGCAGGTGGAATCCACGCCCACGCCCACGTCGCCAGAGCTTCCTGCCGCATGGAGGTCCGTTGCCGCCGCAGCACCGGCGAAGAGGGTGTCGACCAAGACTGCGTGGGTCCGCGGGCTTAACGTGGAGGGGCGCGGCGCATCCAGGAGCTCCGCGATGACCAGGGACCGGTGGTATTCCGCGATTTCTTCAACTATGCTCACCCAACGCGCAGGGGGGACGAGACGGCGCGTTGCCGCGACCATCATTTCCCCGTACGTTTGGCCAAAGGACGGTGCACTGCCGCCACCGAGCGAGGGATCTGTGCCGAGGTCGTAGAGCTCAGACAGTGCGGCGAGCTCATCCGAGAAAGACGTGGATGGGTTGTCAACGCCAGGGCGTGTGGGATTAAGATAGGTGTCGGAGACTGGAGCGAGGGTGGTGGCGTCGCCGATTGAGATGTCAGAGGTAGTAGGCAGGGGAGATGGGGGACCAACGGTGGGGGCGGGCGTACTAGACATCTCGGTGAGAGGAAGGGAAGCCTCGAGAGGGGTGACGATCGGGATACAGAAGACCACGGGAAGAAGGTGGTCGTTGGAGGAAAGAACCTGTGAGATACTGTGTGAGTGTGTGTGCAGGACATTATGATATTCTTGTAGACATACTCAGACGGAGATCGCGAATATGAATGCACAGGTGGATCTCGCAAGGAGACGTAGGGCGCCCAACGTCGTTTGTGTGCTGAGGGCACAAACAGGCCGCGCGAGATGTCGTCCGCACGAGATGTCGGCCGCGCGAGGAGACGGTGGGTCGTTGATTGCTCAGCGCAACTTGGCGATAAGTTGCTATCAGTGCGAGGGGATGGCTTGTCGGCGCGAGGGGATGGGTCGTTGGCGCGAGGAGATGGGTTGTTGGCGCGAGGAGATGGGTTGTTGGCGCGAGGAGATGGGTCGTTGGCGCGAGGAGATGGGTTGCCCGTCAGCGCGAGGGGATGGGTCGTCCGTGTGAGGTGATGGGTCGTCCACACGAGGAGATGGGTCGTCCGCGCGAGGAGATGGGTCATCCGCGCGAGGAGATGGTCCTCCACGCGAGGAGATGGGTCGTCCGCAGGGGCCGTGCGGTTCGGATCGTCGGAGGCTCTTGCCGGCTTGTTTGAGACCTGGAGGGATCCGGAGCTGGGTGGGAGCTGGGCGATTACGCCAAATAAGGCAGGTGATCTGTTAGGCACTGGGTGAGATAACGATCTGAGGATCATGTTGATCCTCAGATGGTTAGCTCACCCGGACATATGTTTATACCTCAGCAGCGTCAACCATTAGAGAGGCACAGACGACTCACTGAGAGGACATGGGTGGTGGTAGGAGCGACGCAGACGTGGCAGCGGACGTGGAGTCCTGCGCGGCTCCCGTCAGGCGTGGGCCTGAGAGTCGAAGCCCTCGCTTCGAGCAGGAAGCAAGGTGCTGCTTTGGGTGATGTCGCATGTGGTCAGGCGTGGAGGCTGACTTGTGCCATCACCAACTCCTTGCCCTCATCGCCTCTATCGATGCGTTTTCTCCCCCCTCTGCTCTCTCCTCCCGAACTCAGTCTAGACTCTACTAGTCCTACTGCGATCTTTTTCTGCTGGAACTATCGCGTTATCGGTCGCAAGGTCTCATCAACACATGCATCGTTGCAAATCAACTCAGCACGCACACACGACACTCCGACTGCCCCATGAACATGAACATTGCAGTGTTCCTGGCCCAACCACCTCATGGACCGTCTCGTGCACCTCCCCCTGCTCATGATTGGGTATCAAGCACCCTGCCAGGGCGAACGGAGCACCGGAATGGTACTCATCTTGGTGAGCACACTCTGAGCTATCCCGTCATTGAGGCGGGACACAGAGCTCTGGGCTAACATTACCTTCGAAAGGGACATTCAGGAGTGCGCGATTCAACCTCCTGGGGAGGTTTTATACTACGGAAACTCACCCTGGTGAGTTCAGAGATCCCACTCTACCCCTCGCCCTCTGACGATTCGCCTCCCCTCGACGTTAGTATGCCCGCCGACTCCCCCGCCGAGAACCCCCTTGCCGCTGCGGTAGCGGCTGCCAAACGTCCCCGCTCGGAGACCGTCACGCAGGAGTCTGCCAGGTACATCCGCTACTACTATCTTTCATTGCACTTTCCTAACACACTTTCTTCAATCTACCACAGTGCCACCATGCCTAGCGGGCGCGACAAGCGGCGTGCGAAGGTACGGCGCACGAGGTCGACTACCTCTGTATCCTCCAAGTCGGTCACAGAGGACGACTCGGACAAGGACTCGAGCGCCATACCTTCTGACTCTGACAGTTCCGACGGCGACGATGGTGTTCGTGGCCTGAAAGAACGCACTCGCGCAGCCGCGGAGAACACTGGGATCGTGGGCAAGACTGATCGCCAGACTCGGTTCGCAAGGCGGTTCCCGAACATGACCCCGGAGGAGATTTTAGGTAAGTCCGATCGCTCATCTCTCGCACGAACATATTGCTGATATCTTGCAGCGGAGCTTGCAAAGGGTTGGCGTTCAGATGCGTATTTGCACTTCGAATTCCCAACCGTCATTCGAGGCCCCAACGGGACTATAAGTCATCGTTTCGTTTGCAAGGAGTACGTTGTGCGATTTAGTATGTGTTGACCATGACTTACATACTCTCTACAGGCACTCGTCTAAGAAGGTCGATCGTCCGGACTATCAAGAAAGCACCGGAAATCTCGTGCGGCACGTGAACAGCTGCAACCCTCAGAAGAAGCCAGTGGCCACAGCCGGCGTTCAGCTCATTGAAGATTTCGCCGCCGGGGTCACGTACACTCCGCATCGCATGCGGTTCCTGCTTGCGATGTGGTGTGCACGAAACCATCGCCCCTTCACCATCGTGCAGGACAAGGACTTCCGTGCGATCTTGGCGATGCTCTACAACAAGGTCGCTCTCCCAACTCGCCAGACGATCTCTCAAGACGTCCGCGACATCCATCTGGAGGCGAAGTGACAGCGGGTCATCGACCATCTCAAGGTACATAGTCTATCCCAACCCTCTGCCACGACACCTCTGACATTGTAATCAGAACGTCGAAGGCGGCATCCATGTCTGCATGGATGGCTGGACGTCGCCAAACGTGATCTCGTACCTTGGGATCACTGTCCACTGGACTGAAAAGGGGGTCATGAAGCATATTATTTTGGACTTCGTCAAGTGAGTTCTCCACTGCACGCTGTGCACCCACCGCGCGAACTAATACCCAACCTCCCTTCAAAGGCTCACCAAGTCCCACACCGCTATATTCCTCGCCGACAAGCTCGAGGACTGTCTCCGCGAGTACGGTATCTTTGACAAGGTGAGCCCCCGGTTCTCTCTCACCCTTCCCTCCTCTCGCGTGCGCTCCCCACCCCGGTCCCCGTAACTCGTGCCCTATAAAGCCTTGCGGTGCATGCTGACACCATTCAACACCCTCCAGGTCATCGCTGTCACATGCGACAATGCTGAGGTCAACACAGCGCTCATGCGTCAGCTCCATACGTGCGCGCCGTTAGCCCGGATCGGCGAGGGCCATGTCCGTTGCTTCGGACATGTGTTGAACCTAGTCAGCAAGGTCCGTACCTACGATGTATAATGCTGATATATTGTCGTCTTATAATATTTATAACACCATATCAGGCTGCCGTCAAACCTTTCTTGAAGAAGCGCGGCCCCGCCAGCAACGCGTCAGAGGACGACGAAGATGCCAGAGTGTTGCATGATGAACACGACGACTTCTCCGACGACGGCTCAGATGTCGACTCGGCAGACGAGAATGAGGGCGTAGAAGTCGACCGCGCACGTGAGGATGCAGACCAAGGTATCATTGACGATCTCGGTGACGATGACGACACGCCGTGCACGCCTGAAGAGGAGAAGGTCGCAATTCTCGCTCTCGAGAAGGTGAGTTAAATTCCTTGGCCGCTTGTCATTGAACACTCACATAGTGTGTCCTACGGTAGCTTATCAAGCTCTCGGGAAAGGTTTGGAACAGTCCCCCCGTTCGTGCTGAGCTGGAAGAGCTTGCCAAGAGCGTGAACATCGACGCGCGTGTCCTCATTCGCATGGTCCGCACCCGATGGAACAGCCTCGTCAGTGTCATCGCCTGCGGACTCGAAATGAAGGACGTACTTGGCCCACTCTGCGACAAGTACGAGTTCAATCGCACCGGAGGTGTCCGTCTCCGTCGCTTTATCCTCAACGAGGATGAGTGGTCCATCCTCGAACAGCTCTACCACCTCATGGACGTAAGTACGATGTACTTTTTCCTGCACCCTTCGCTGATGATCTGCTTTCTCATAGCCTTTCTTGTACGCGACCACCCAGATCTCGTCCAACACCCGCGCACTTCTACACGAAGTAATACCTTTCATTGACGTCCTTACGAAGCACCTCGACGATTTTGTTGACCAAGCCGATCTTCACCCGGTCGTCCGCAAGGGTGCGCGTGCCGCACGAGCGATCATGAACAAGTATTACAGCAGGACCGACGACACTCCAGTCTACCGTATCGCCATGAGTACGTACTAACATCCACATATCACCCGTACACTCTCTGATGTTCCATGTTTCGTAGTTCTTCACCCAGCCCTCAAGCTCACATACTTCCGCAAAGCGGGCTGGACGCCTGAGTGGATTCAAATTGCGCGCGACCTCACCAAGGAGGTCTGGCTGAACTACTACAAGATCGACACCCCTGCCAATGACGATGACGAGCCACCCTCCACGCCTGCCGCCTCCACCTCTGCGTCGACATCTCGGTCGTCCGCATCAGGCGTCAAGAGCCGTGCTGCGCGCAAGAGCTCTCATAGTGTGAGCGCTGCCGTAAGTCACACCAAATCCCTCGCCGTGCTTGACGATCCCAGCTCACATAGTCACAATTCTTTCGCAGCTCTTTGCCAATATTACTGCGCGGGCGTCGCGTGACACTACCGATGCTCTCGAAGAGTACCTCAATGCACCGCCCAAAACGACTGTGAAGGACCCACTCGCCTATTGGGCTGGTGCGCTCAAGGGCAAGTCTGAGGACCGTGCACTCGCACGCATGGCCCTGGACTATCTATCTATTCCTGGTATGTTCCTATCTGTGTCGTTCTCTGCACTGTTATTGAATATATCGAAACCCAGCGACCTCGACTGATGCCGAGCGTGCCTTTTCCCGAGGTCGCCTCACGGTGTCCCGCCTCCGTCGTTCTCTCGGCAACAATAGTGTTCGTGCGAACACGATCTTGGGGTCATGGGCTCGTGTTCCCGGCCTCATCCCGGAAGAAGAGATGATAGAGTTCCTGAAGGACAAGAAGGGCGCGCGTGCCCGTCGTGCTGGTGACGCGCCCCCCGAGTCGCCCACTGACATTATCACTATTGATTAGATGTGTATGATCGCCCCCCATCCTTCTCATATGCCCACCACCCACGTACTTCCCTGCCCACGTTCATCTACTCCTGCACATTGAGTCCCTTCCCTGTATGGTATCCTGCGACACGTGTTATGCATCCACCTTTGTTTGGCTAGCCCCACCCCATGCGCCTCACTGCCGTGCGTGCACACCTCGCGCGGGTCCCTACTCCCAGGCGACCAGACGTCCCGCCGCCCGCCGGCACGCCCACACCTCCGCGCGATGGTCAACCGGATGTCCCGCGCCGCATCCGCACCTCGGAGTCTCGGACCTCCACATGACAGGCTGGACCTCCACCCAACTGCACAACTGAGGCGCACTGATGCACCAGTGCACCGCACCTCCGCGCGCGAGCACTGCAAGTCAACATTCAGTATGCTTTTCGATTTTGTGCACCGCGCGGCGCGCGCTGGGAGGTACAATGCCGCTGACTCCCTCTATGGCTGCGCAAGAGCGCCGTGACCCACCATGGATCCATTGCGGCGCATTCTGTGTGCTTAATCCCAATGAAAGTTGCAATATATGTGTGCGGATCCACAGTATCCGTGGATCCACACGGGTCACGACTCAGTTCGTGGGTAGACCCACAGGTCACGGTTCCGGCTCCCGCGGGTCCAGGTCTTCCAGGTGATCCGATCCGCACGACTCCGGGTCAAGCCTGTCTGAGCGCCAGTGATCCGCGGATACGACTCAGGATCACCCACGGGTAGATCCGCAAACAGCCTTAAGACATGCTATGTTAGCCGGCCGCCATGGTACCGATCGGCAATGGTGAGCCTTCGTGGGACACATATTGTGAAGGACAGGGTTGCTTACTTGCCGTGTTCTAGCACCAGGAGTGCTACGATGACCTCGACCCACGAGATGATCCTGAGCCGGACCGCGCGACTCTGCTACTCAAGCGCAAGAAGGGTCTGGTAAAACTCACTGCTGTACCTCCGAAGGCACAGACACTAAAGACTCGCCTGCGCATGTGGATGATCACCGAGGAGGCACTTGAAGCGAACCCGCACTGGTTGACTGGGGGCCGGGTCGCACCGAATGGGAAGTTGTGGGGCGATGAAGAAGATCCTGTTGATGACAGCATGACGAAAGGAGGAGCGAAGAGGAAGGGAGAGTCGTCCAAGGATGGTGGCGGTAGGAAAAAGAGGCGTCCTGCTGAGGACATGAGTAAGGTACGGGTGGCTGAGGCGAGTCGTGCGGAAGCAGCACGAGGGGCAGATGATAACGAACTCTTCGGGAACATGACGCAGGTGTGGGAGACTTGATGCGCATTCACGTGGATTATCAATCTTGTACTAGTTCTTGTTCTAGGCTCTCGAACCAAGTATCATTGGGCTCGAGTCCTGTCTGTGCGCGCGCGTGAAGCCAGTGAATGTGGAGTGTAGTGCAGTGGTGGGTAAACTCACGCGATCAAACGAGTGAACAACCCAGAGGTTTCGCCGCAATCCCGGCCCAGTCTGGGCCCTGATAGGTATGATCGCAACTGCAGCGGCAAGCCAGGTCGTTGGAACGATCTCGACCAGGTGATACTGTTCGGCGTATGCAACGGAAACACCGAGATGATCTGAGCTGTCGGAGGGTGAGCAGGCAACTGGAAGCGTATAGTGTGCAAATAAAGACGCACTACATCGACCACGGAAATGTTGGAATGTCTTCTCCAGTGACCATGCGCTCGACAGCTGAGCACAACACAGGGGCTTGTCCGGTAAGCACAATCTCGAAATGGTACCTGATACGACAAGGAATGCGCTTGATCCCATCAAAGTCGACACAAGTGTGCTGATCTGAGTCGGTGCGAGTGTCTGCGGTTGATCCGTACCGTATTGCATCCTTCGAGATGAAAGGAAGGAGTCGAGTGCCCTTGTGTGCAAGGAACATTGTGTTGTGAGGCCGCAAATCATGCTCGTCACCAATGGTCAGGTGGGGAAAAACACGTCTGAGATGATAGAGAAGGGGCAGGTAGAGGCGACCATCTTCAAGCTGCCGAAGATTGATGAAGGTCTTGGTACTTCGGTGCGGCGTGTTGATGGTTGATGTGCCGTGTGCAAATGCCTCAATCTGCATCCCAAGCGTCCCACGAACCACGCCTTGCTCTCGGCACATACTTTTCAGTTCTGCACGTTCGTACTCGGTCGCATCAGGTGGCAATGTGGAGACCTCGAACATAAGTGAGCCCTCACGTCTAGAACCTAGAGAAACACTCACGAGCTCATACAAGCGTAGCTTGTACTGCCAGTTCCGCATCAATGTGAGCTCCATCTCGCCCCAAGGGCGACCATTCAGGTTGACGTTGGCGAGGATCCCGTTGAAGCGCTCATGTGCGAAGAGCCACCAAGCATACACGGGCCCGAAGCGTTCATAAAACACTGGATAGTGCAACGCATAGTGGCAGTTGGGCACCATGTGTACGCCCAGCCGGACGAGATCACGGCAGAGATCTTGGATGAACCTGTGACCGCGCTTCACGTCGTCGAGGGTGATCTGTCTCGAGGCGAGAATGCGTTCAGCAATGGATGCGTAGAGAAATAATCTGTAGATACGGGGGATATCTCAGGTGAATGTGGGTCGCTTTGAGGCATTGTGTGGAATTGGTGAAGGCTCGGAGTGCCCAAGCTTGTCATTTTCGTCGCACCAGACACACCAAAGCACAGTGGTTTGGATGTTCACCCAGCGACGCCACTGATCAGCCTTTGGAAGCCCACGATTTTCCCCAAGCTCAAGGTAATATCAGCTCGCAATATCACTGAGCAGAACGTATGAGCTCACATTGTTGGGAAGGCGACCAACGCATGAGGGCCACTGAATTGAGTTGACGACGGCCTGGAGACTCCGCCAACGCTTGGCATCGAGAAGATACCCGTCAATCAGTAGGGAAGTGAACATGTACTTCGCAATTCCTGCCGTATAGCTCAAGTCAGATTAGAGATCTCCGCACGCGTGCAGCCGCGCTGGTGTGTACGCCCAGCGCGTCTGGCTCGCATCCAGGATCTGGCCGAGTCACCATGCCCAATGTAATCTCGCCTTACTGGGCCAGATGCACGCACCAACACGTCCAGCCGACTGCGCAGGCTGGGACGTGCAGCTGGCAGCATCTGGCGCACCAAGCTACTAGGTGCGCTCGGCACATGTAGCGCATTGCGCGTTGCGCCCGGCGCAGAGGATGACGTAGAAGGCTCACCGTAGAAGTTATGCATGAAATCAACGGCTGAGGATGACACGGGAGACCATCCTACCAGCTCGTCCATCACCGAAAAACGTTTCCCGGACTGGTCCAAGATCTGTTTCCGCGCTTTCTTTGTCGTGGCATCCTTCGAGAGAAACGAGTACCTGAGCATCTCAAGTTCGTCTCGTAGCCGCAGTTCTAAAGGTGATGTCAGCACTGAGGAACAGAGCTAGCACATCAGGAAAAACCCAAATCCCTATTGAGAGGTAAAATATTGGTAAGCCGATATACGCGAAAATACTGCCGCTGTTCCAACTCACCGCAGTTTACAGACACTATCTCCTTCCTTCTGGCCGCTTATTGGGTGGATGAGGTATAATTTGATATGTTTGATTGGGTGTGATGGATATCTGTACATGTAGGTAGCCGATAATGATATTTTCGACTCGATCCCGACGAGTAGTATGAGGCCGTATGCGTATGACTTCCCCCGCTATTCACACAACATGCATAGATGGATCATAGAGCACACTGGCATTGCTTCACGGTCTAAGTGCTGCGATAATGTACATATCCTCACACCCTATGATACTGGTTTGTCAACGAGAACTTACCTGGACTTTGTGAATCCAATCTCGACATCCCCCTCCACGTAAATTCTGCTTGCCTTGTGCGACGAACACCATTTCGGACTGGGCGCAGGGCTAGGCGCGGTGGGTACTAACGAGGCGGCGAACTTGCAGCCCGACAAGTAGATGTACTGGTGCGAGTTCACGCGTAGCTCGGCGAGTCGGGCGCAGTGATCGTGGCGTTGCTTGCGGAGTGTGTGTGCGACGTGTGTGTGTGGTCCTAGTCGGAAATGACGTGGACACGGGATACGATGAAGCGCAGAGAAGAACGAAGAGGGTGACGAACCAGGGCAAGTGCACTGCCAGAAGATGAGCGGGCCCGTGACGAACACTTTGAGGTACCACTGTGGCTGCGAGAGCGCCGCACGGTTGTACTATGCATCGCGGTCAGGGGACAGCCTATCGGGTTGTCGTGCGAGGACGCGCGCGGCCCGTACATTGCACCGTCGGGATGACCGCACTCGGGCGAGCCAAGGGTAGGCATTGACCATTGCGCTGCTGCAGCTTAGATGACGATCAGATCGAGGCGGAAGCAGCCATCGCGCTCACCGCAGAAGCCGCGCGAGAGCTTCGCGGTCTCTTCATGGCCGTAGTACGGGTCCCGGACTCCCAGGTGCGGGAAGGTGGGAGATTAAGGATGCGGAGAAAGCACAAGGAAGAGGCACGAGAACTCACGACCACAGTCCACTTAGTGCAAGCCCAGGCCAGAGGGCCGGACAGCCACAGTTTCGGCAGCTTCTTGAACGACGAGTGGTGGTGGCGAGCAGTGGAGGGACCAGAGATGGCAGCCATGAGGAGGCGGAGGGGCTAGGAGAGTGGTGGTGGTCGCAGTTGAAGAGCGGAATGGCGCGCAGACGCTTGCGGCAACGGCAAACGCGCCTACGCGCACTCCTCTTTCTCAAGCGTGCGGGCAAGTTGAAACAGAGTTCATTCATTCGAGACGTTGGAACATAACGACGAAAGCTCAGTACACATAGTAAGGTATCAAGAGTGCATCAGTAAACGACTTTGTACGTATGCTTGTCCAAAAACGTGTTCAAGTAGAAGGTAGAGCATAATTCGAGTACATTGTCGCTAGTCCATTCTCGATTGACCGTGTGGCCGAAATCTGGGAACAGCTGACAGCTACGTTCGATTTGCTCAACAGGTATCACTGATGCAATACGAGCGCCGTGGGGATCGCGAGAGCGGACAACTTTGAACAGGCCGTGGTCGGGATCGGGGGCACTCGAACAGGAGAACCACTCTACATACGCCAGATGGAGAGGAATGGTCGAGGGCAGTATGCCGGGAAAGAGATGCGGCAGGGAGTGTGGTGGAAGTGAGAAGACAACGCGAACCTGAGCAACCCTTAAATCTGGGAGGAGTAGAGGTGGATCAGTCAGCGATGGAGAGTCTGAGCGGCATGGTACAAACTCACCGCTCATGCCACGAGCACGATATCCTGGCTCCAGGGACGAGCGGACGAGAACAGTATCAAATCGAGACCGGAGTATACGGCCCTTCTTGTTCTCGCGCACAGGGCAAATATGAACGGCGTCCTGGCTAAGGGCATTAGGGTCGCCAACGTCGTGCGGATCTGGCAGTGCAAACTTAATCTTGTGGAAAACAGGCACTTTGGCGAAGTTGAGGTAGATCCGACTGGCTCCTAGATCGGCCATACGTGCGCTCTGAAGGTGAGGATGTGTGACGGAGACGATGTATCGACTGAGGGTGTCGCGGAAGTACTTGGCACCGTACTGCGTGACGATATCACCAAGGCGAACAACGGCGGATGGGTGTCGCGTCATTTGAATGCGTGCTGGAGGCGAGTCAGCTGAGTCGCGCGGGCGACCAGGCAGGCGTTTGGTCTGAGATTGTGACACAGACCGTCCACCAGCAATGTGACCGTCTTGAAGTGAACTTCTGGCGGCTGGTGCAACGGAGACCCCTGCAAAAGTGGTCCCATGAGAACACTGAAGGGCCAAGTGAACCGACGAGCGTACCAGTAGTATCGGTGACGCCGCCAGCTTGTAAACGCCAGTTTACATAGTTGCTATGGCGAAGCATCTTCTCCTTCCGCTCGACCCATCGCGTCATCTGCGGAAGCTCGTCCTTATGGTTCGACGCGCGCCATCCATCTTTGGTCAAGACGATATGAAGGCGCTCAGTGAACTGCGTGTCGTAATTGTCGGTCGTCCCGAAGAGTTCTATCGAGACCGAGTAGTGATCTGCGGAGTGGAGTTTCGGCAGGTGGAAATGAACTTGAATACCCAGATCAACAAAGGCCTGCTTATTGTCATGGAATCGCTTGATCGCGCCGTCGAGGAGACGGAGAGTGGTGGATGTGTGCGTGGGGTACTGAGCGAGATAGAGGAAGTCGAGGAGGGCTCGAGTTGCGCGGAGAAGCTGAATAGGTGAACGGCCACCAGGGAGACGTAAATGAATAACAAGTCCAAGGAGAATACGACATAGATGGGCGTGTTCTTGACCAGTGACGCGGGATAGACACGATATCCCCTTGCCGAAGTGGCGCGCGTTGTGGTTGGGTGGGAGGCGCTGACAGCGTGCATCGAGCTCTTCAGTGCTGAAGGCGTCCTTGAGCCACGCAATGAGATGCTTCAGTACCCCTTGATGGAGTTGGTGGAGCACGTCGGGGGTGATGGACATGTAGATGTTCGCGTGCGGAAGCGACTCCCAGAACGGGTGATAGAGAGGCTTGATACCCGCGTCGGAGCAAGCCTTACTGTACCCGCGTGGATCCTGCTCGATCGTCGCCAGAGCGTCAAGGACGTGAGGGAGGTTTCGGAGTGGTGGACTAGGTATGTGTTCGTCTCCGAGGGTACTGGCGGGAATGGGACACTTCGGACATTCTCCTGTCTTGCAGCCCGTGACTAGGACTTGTTCGGGGTAGTCGCCGACGTAGCACGCGAGCAACGGATGCCCACGTCGAGTGACACCGTCACCACTCATGATCGGAATACCATCTGCGCCCGCGGCGCGGAGTGGGGCGAGTGCATGCGATAAGCACGCGTGAAAGAGGTTGGCGAGGACGCGTCGACGTGATGCCTTGTTCGAGACATGCTGCATGCGAGTGGCTGGGAGGTAGGCGAGAAGAATCTGGCCTTGTCGAGACGGCTTGCAACGGATATGCTTCGGCAGGTTGCCGATCGTGAGGTAGACCGGGTAGGCGACCTTGCTTCCGAACTGTGTCAGCTGCGTCTTGTCGGAGCTGATGATCACAGGGATCACGGTCGCTCCAGGAGCCTGTTTCTCAAGACGTTTCTGTGCGGCGGCACCGGTTAGTGTGAATCACAGAGAAATGCGCAAAAAACACGTACCTGCTGAGCCCACCACCACTTCCCTGTGTTCATGTCGAAGTAAACGCGGTCCGTGTGTGCCTCATCAGAGTAGTGACGTTCTGGAGTGAGGAGAAGGAGTGGGGCGAACTCCGGATCACCGAAAAGTGCCTTGATACACTCGAGAACATCGCGAAAGAACATCTCAAATGTCTCGCCGGCGATCGAGACCTCGTGACGCTGAAACGGAGGTGGCCCTGGTGGCATCTTGGAGTCGATGATTCGGTTGAGCTCGCCAGAGTTCTTAAACGAGAGGGACAGTTTCTCCGCGACCTAATTAGTGCCCATTAGCGTCGGATAGAGCACAGGTGAATTTCAAACATACGTCCTCAATCGCGAGCAGGTCCGAGAACGCGGTCGAGCCTGTACCTCGTGTCTTGGCCCAGAGCGCAATTTCCCAGTCAAGTCGCGACGCGAACGGCGCATAGGGATTGATGCTGGGAGAGCCGTCGGAAATCCGGTGTTGGTATGAGCGGTAACCGCTGTCCCATCTATTCGCGCGCACTCCGGCGATTGGAGCACCAGCCGACGGTACTGGATACGGGACAACATAGGTGCGGCGCTGGGATACGCTCTTCTCAGCCTGTTCGCGGGCTGATCTTGAGAAATCGACAGGACCAGACAGAGATTGACCGGGCGGCGTGGTCGTGTCTGAGGAGCGGAGATGAAGATGGCACAAGAAAACGATTGGAGAGACGCAGCACGTACCATTGACATGGTCTTCAACTTGCGTCAGGGTGTGATCGCCAAAGAAGTCGCCTTGAAACGGAATGGGTGCGCTGTCCAGGTCCATGTCGAAGTCTGGCACAGTCTGCGGCGCGTGATGGTCATGCACATCCGATGGAGCGGATGGAGCCCGACCACTCTGGGCGAGCACATCTCTGCATTGAGGGTTCTGGGTGTGGGCGAGGTGCTTCGAGAGACCGGATGGCGTGAAGCGGCCGTTGCAACCGGGACACACTAATGACCCCTTGTTTGATGGCATTTCGGGGACGACAGTGGGAAGTGAAGAGGTGGGTCGGCGCTGAAGGCGGTAAGGTCGAGGGTGAGGAGAGGATGTCGTGGTACGAGACAGAGTACCAACACATACCTTGAAACTCCGTCGCTTGTGTGGTCAGTTACGCGGGCGGCAGGGCCAAGACCTGGTTGCTGCAAGGTTGCAACTACAGTCAAAAGCGCGAGACCAGAGTTTTGCGTGGGCTGCCGGGGTCCTAGGCTTCGAACGGGGGCCTTCTTCCGTCTTGACGACGCTGTTGAGTTCCGCGCTCAGCCCACAACCAGTATATACACTGCGCACAATGACCTCCGACGACTCACCTCATCCCGCCATTCTCTGCTTTAGTGTCTGCGACACTTTTCTCATCTTCTAGACTCTCTTCTATCATTTATCTTTTCCCAACACACACTCATTCCGCCGCTCCCGGTATCTTGCTGTCAACCATGCCTGCTCGTCGCTCTCAGACCCACAAACAACCACACAACAACGCTCACCGTCAGACTTCCCCCGCTGCCTCTGGGCAGGTTGACACCGTTCCCTCACAGGTTGAGGCTACCGCGGAAGGTGAGCCTTGTTATTATGGTATCGGTCATGATAAGGCACTCACCGTGAGGTAACAGTGTCTTCTCAGGGTCGCCCTCAGCGTGCTGCCAAAGTTCAGGCGATGATCCGAAAAGGTGAGTTTCTGACTTATAATTCACAAAGGTCAGCACCAACGCGAGGTCACAAGTCTGGACAAAGACCGCACCTAAGAATCCATGCAAGTCGTCGAAGACTACCACGACGAGCGCTCCTTCTGAAACTGCTCCATCGACACCGTCCAGCAAGATACCCGCGGCTCGGAAGGGTCCACGGCCTCGACCACGACGCACCGCAGTGGAGGGTGCTGAAAGTGGCGCATTGAAGGATATATCAGTCTCGGGTGCCAAAAGTGAGCTCTCTTACTTACCAGTGTTGATCCAGCTCCCAATCAGTTCTGGCAGAGCGCGGTCGAAGCTCACGCGGACTCGATGAGTCATCCGACGGCTCCGAGGTTCCTCAGCCTCTTGCCAAGCGTCACGCGGCAGATCCTGGTGACAATGGTCAGTTCTGCATTCTGCTTTATAACTACAACACAGTCCAAACTGACGTCTTCACCGTCCGCTTTGCCCAGATGCTGATCAAGACGGGTCTGAAGACGATGTGGTTTCTTTGTCAGAAAGCGAAGGAGATGTCATCGGAGAGGACGAGTGGAGAGCCGAGGTACGTACACTATTTTATCTGCTAAGCTTTGCTGACGGCTGTCTTCTTCATCGACAGCATCCTGTGTCTGCAAACACGAAATCCGCGATGACCCATCAGTTCCAGGAATCACAAAGGCGGTCGCAGAAATCTGCCACTCACCACGATGTCTTCTCCGCTAACGACATCGAGGAGTCCGACGCGACGGGCGGTTCCGAGTTTGAGCCCGATGCTGACAACACTGACACCACAGACGAGGAAGCCGAGTACGACAACGAGGTGGAGGATGAGGATGGAGATGAGGACGAGGCTGCCGAGAGCGGTGGTGAAGAGGTAGCTGAATACTGGGACCTGGCCGACGAGTTCGATGCTGAGAAGTATGTGGCGCAGCGCGAGGGACGCAAGAGGTTTCAGGCAGCGGCCAAGGTGAGCTGGGTTCCAATCGTCGTCAAAACTCTGGAGTCTGCGCTGACGACGCTGAGCAGCCGCTTTCACTCGCGCAGCGCGCTTGCCTCATGGCAGAGGTACGTTCAACCTCCGACCACCGAAGCCGTTATTTTACTAACTCCGCTTGAAAGCACCCCGTTTGGCATGGTATGCTTCGTTCATCCTCTCCGCGGCTTCGCCCGTTCATTCTCACTATCCCTCTGCAGACGATGTCCTTTCTACCGACCTCAACATGGCCATCACGGCTGCCACCAACTCTGACGATGACGAAGATCCCGCGCCCCTTCCCACTCGCACTGCTCGTCCCCACGATGCGTCGGGTACTCATGCCGGACTCCCCAACAACCTCCCCAACAACCTTCCTCCGTCTGCGTACTCCATAACTCCCTCTGCCACCGCGGGTGGTGTGCTCTCCCTCAATGCTCAGCACACGCACTGCCGTCAAGTTGTTCGCCGTGCATTCTTGGTGATCGAGGCGAGCCTCATGTCCAAGCACGCCTTTCCCGACGCTATCGGACGGTCCCAGTTCGTGTCGACAGCCATCCTCGAGTGCGCAGATGAGCTGGAGATGGTCGGTATGGGTCAGTGGCTCAGGGCAAACGAAGCAGCACTGCGTTCGTTGTCGTCACTGGTGCGTGTCCTTTTTCACTCAGATTTTCTCCTCTTTACACGCCCATTGCACCAGCCGAACCAACGGGTCAGTGCGATTCGAGGCCGCGCAAAGTACGCCACAGATGGATACGCTCCTCCATACTACAAGATCGTTGCCGGCAGCTGCCAAGACCTTGTGGCATGGTATTTCGCCCATCTCACGTATATTTACCCTGTCGATGTTCGTTCTTTCGTCTCTATCAGTGTTTTATGCTACTTACTGCCCGCCTCTCTCTAGCCCATGCAGCAGACTGTGCCGTGGAACCGCCCTTATCAGCACCCTTGCATTGCCGCCGTTCTCCGCGCAGTCTTCTTCTCCGGCGCATCTTCGTACGCTGTTCGCCATCCTACCATTTTTGTATCAACTCGTCCGGATCGGTTGGAGGAACGAGAGATTCCCATCCCCATGCTTGCTCTTGTGTGCACTGCTGTAGGTTCACATTGTCCCCCGAAAGTCTGAGCACTGATCATAGTGTGATCTTCCAGATACATGCGTCGCTGTCTGAATGGCGTCAGGGAACTCACAAGACTTCGCCGTTCACTGCGGACGCCTACCTCGACGTTTATAATGAGCATGTGTTGCTCTTGAACGGCATCAAGGACAACAATGTGCGCGCTTTCCACACCACTATGCACCGGCTTTTCGTCTCTGCAAGGTGCGTTGTTCTGTCTATCTTGATATGTCGATCTCACCTATCATATCAGCGGCATCAACCCAGTCACCGTCGTCACCGCCGCCACCGCCGATGCTATCTCTCACGTCGACTTTGCTGGCATGGAGGTCGACTAGTCGTTTTCGCTGTCCTCATTGTCTGCATCGGACGATCTACATTTACAACATTCTCCTGGCGCTGGCAGCTCGGGCCCACCCTCGTTAGTACACATCGTCACCGTCTTCATATTCATCCTCCCTGTGCACACATTCTCGACTGCACTCTAGTACTCGCGCACCTATAGCACCCGTCGACACCATGTCGCCGTGCTCGCCGTGCACTTCTCCCACCCTACATCATGTGCTCGAGCACCGTGTCCCTCAGCGACTTCTGTGCGCTTTTGCGTAGGTCTGGCAGGCTCCGGTACTGTTTACATTGCGTCGTCATTCGTCGTTGATACGTATATCTATGTCGCTATTGCTGGATAATGGTCTAGTTTGCATCTCAGATGTCGAATCAATGCTTGTGATTGTGCTATATTTTATGTGTGATGAGTGCTACTTCTCGATATTCTGTGCTTGAAGCAGTGATCTACGGACATGAGTGAGACTAAATACACCTGGTGAGGGCTTGCTCTCGCAACTAATGTTTCCTTCTCCATGTAATCGTCTCTCATTAGCAGATGGGTAAGCGAATAATAATACTTCTGAATAACGCAATAATCCGGCTCATTAGCCCTTATAAGCCTCAGTAATGTCTCATTATAGATTTGGGTTTTTCCTGATGCACCTGTGGTGAACTGCTCGCAAGTGAGCGGCTTCCGATGTGGCACAGTGCTCACTCACCAGACCATGTACAGCTGTCGATGAAGCACGCTCGCGAGAGCGCTTGAACGTCCTACGCTGCGCTCTCGCGAGCATGCTCCACACTCGTGCGCAGCTTCCGTCTCATGCGGTGCGCTCGCGCGGGGCTTCCAACGCGATACGCCCACGCGGGGATTCCAACACGACGCCACACTCCCCAGACCGGTGCGGCAGTGGACGAGGCACGGTCGCGCGTGGCTTCAGACGCGATACGATCCCGTGTGGCTTCCGACGTGGCATGCTCGCAAGACATGAGAGATAGAAAGGGAACATACTTGAATACACATATGCTTTGGCTGTCTGCAGCTGATCTTGTGTAACCTCGCAAAAGGAGCACAGAAGTGTGTGTGAGTGACCGGCGGACCCCTTGACCTTCGCTGCTGCAGGTGCGTCGCTCGAGTGGCACTCGACAGCCGCATGCACCTCCACTGGATCGCTATATCCATACGCGTCTAGGTGGATACCTGCGTGCGCGTAAAACTGGACAGTACAAGTCCAGAAACCGGGCGTACCAGTGTACAAGATTTTGAGTTCGCGCGTCGCGAGCGCCAGAATATGATTTATCTCTTCCAGACTTGGCTCCTTCGGTCCAGGAATGACCACTAGAAGGTGTACATTGCGCTGTAGGTACCGAACTGAGCGACGCAAATTGTTAAAAGTTACGTATAATGCGCCCACGGAATGGGGACAATCTTTCGTGACACCAAACCTGAATGTAGCATTGGTAAGCGTAGCCTGTAGGCGGAGCGTATCCTGATGCATACCAATCAAGATTGATGGTCAGACTGAGACCAAACGGGATCGACCGGAGTGTTCGCGGAGGTCCAGCAAACGCTTTGACGCCGTCTTCAATCCGGCCATCAGGCATGCGAAGGCGAACGTGATCCAGCTTTGTTGCTCGATAGGCTTGTCCGTCTTGGAAGTCCTTCAGCACACCGCCGTTGTCTGGTGCATCACCGGATGAGAGATCGAGGTTGCGGACAAACTCTTCTCAAAGGAGGAGACGCGGGAGGGCTTTGAGCAGTGGCGCATACAGCAGGATTTTGGCTGGATCGTGCTTTGGTTTTGGATCTTCACCGTCAGATACCGCTGCTGAGCGCTTTTCGGATGACTTGTAGGCGACACCTTTGCACCTAGGGACTGTGCATTCCGGCCCAGAAAGTGAGTCGAGGTCGTCCTGAGAGTACACCTTGTAGCAGAGAGTGCACATCAGTAATTCCGCACGCGTCAGACAGGTCAGAAATAGTCTGCCTCAGACCTATCTGACCCATTCTGACCCATTTCTGACCCATCTGTTGTCTGACGTCTGACCAGGGTCGAAATTCAATCTGACCCTCAAATCAGACACAAATCTGACCCACAGCAAAAATCTGACCTGATCTGACCTAATCTGACACACTATACACAACATGAAATTTAAGCACAGGGGCATTTTATTAACGGAAACTACTACTACTACTCTAATCACACACCCAACATAAGAACAAGTATCATACAGAAGTGGATGCCGGCGACGCAGTAGAAGAGGGTGGCGAGAGTGACGTAACTGACGCGGGACGACACGATGACGATGCAGGTTAAGTATGAGCGACGTGTCCGTCGTGCCCTACTCAGTGCCGCCGCTCACCGTGGGGCTGCTCCTGCTCTCAGTCACGCGCCTGCGGCGGTACACCGAGAGCTCACTTCCGCCGCGCTTGCACCACCGCGAAGGCTTCCTGAGCGACGTCGCGGACCTCGAAAGCCCGGCGCGCGAACAAGTTGCAGGAGCGTGGTGTGAGCGACGCGGGCTAGGGCAACATGGGCGAGGGCGACGAGGGCGACGTGGGCGACGCAGAGGGGGACGTGCGCAACGTAGGCGCAAGGCGGGCGATGGAAATGACACTGAGGAGGCACGCGAAGTGCGTGGGGCCGAGGGCGAGACAAATAAGGATGGCGCGGGATAGAGCAAGATGGGAAAGGACGGTACGGGCAAGGACGAAGTGAGTGACGCGGACGGCAGTGACGTAGGCGACGGGGACGAAGCACCTGCCAAAGAACACCTGCATAACGTTTCGGAAGGGTTGGACGAGCGTGGGGTGTGGTGGGAAACGAGCTTACCGAGGCCGTGTTCGGGTGCCGCGATCCCATCGCGGCACACTGGCTAAGCTCGTGGATGCCAAACTTGCCCGCATGTTGCAAGCCATGGTTCGACGTGCCAGATGGTCGCTGATGCCCTGCGCGTGCATCTTCTGCATGGCGCGCTTGTACCCGTGACATTCCGTCTCAAAGTCGGCACAGATGTGGATGAAGAGGTAGGCGGTATCAAAGGATGTTAGCGAGAGCCTCACACATTTCTCAGCTGCTACACTCACAAGAACGCAGCGATGTTCGCAAGCGCACACTAGTGCGGATCGCAGCATGACCTTCCGAGACACCCTCGAGACCTGGCGTGTCTGCGTATGCTTCCGAGGAAGGGCCTTCCCGACGCCTGAGCTTGGTAAAGCGGCGCTCGGCGAAGTGCGTGGGAGGAACGTGACAGACTCACTGGGATGGGATATAGCAGGGGTGGGCGAGATGAGCGATGCAGGCGAATAACGAGGGCAAGGCCGGCGGAGCGGGCATGATCAGAAGGGGCGGGCATGGGTGAGGATGAGGTGCGGGCACGGGTGAGCGAGCGTGGGCTCTTGAGTGCCTCCTCGTACGCGCTGTGGGAGCTGTCCTTCGGCATGGGATAAGGACCTGGGCAGCGCGTGAGATGTGGGGGCTGCTGGAGGGCTGGTGCGGCAAAGTGGAGGAGGAGGCGGTGGACCACAGACTCACCCATGTCGTCCTCGCTATCAAAGCCCTCCATGATGTTGTCCAAATCCATCGACTCCCTAGGGCGCTGAATTTTCTTCGTCAGCTTGGGTATGCAGGTGAGGCTGACCATCGCGACAGGAGTAGCGAGGATGGAAGGCGGGGAGGGAGGACGAGGGGGATGAGATCTTGAGAGCGCATGTGCTGGCAGCCGCCAGGTGGCGTGGGAATCTCAGATATCAGCCTCGTGGACTCTGCCAGCGCATCCTCCACCAGGTTCCGCCTTTCACCGTTCTCCGCCTCGCCCTCGCCTGCATCACCCGCGTTGCCCATCTACACCTCGCCGGTCTCACCCACATCGCCGCCCTCTCGTCCTGGCCCGTGTCACCCTTGCCAGCCTCGCTCTTGCTGCTCTAGCCCGCATCACCCGCGTCCCCCGCATCGCCCTCGCCCACGTCACCCACTTCGTTCGCCTTGCTCAACTCGCCCGCTTCACGCGTGGCCCACATTGCCCGCATTGCCCGCGTCGCTGGACTCTTCGTCGGTGTCTCGCCCTTGGCCCGCGTCTCACCCCACGTCTCGCCCGTCTCGCCGTCTCACACCGCCCCTATCACGTCTGCCTGACCTGCCTGGCCCGCGTCGTCACCTCACCTATGTTGACCATGTCGCGCTCCTTGCCCGCGTCATCCGTATCGCGCTCTTATCACCCTCCTTGCCCTCGTCGTACGTCCCCGCTCGCCCCCATCCCCATGTGTGCCCCCGCTCACCCGCGCGCACAGTATCTAGTGGTGATCCAGCCCGCGTACGAACGCGCGGTCGCGGCCTATGCGCCTGCGCCCGTCCCGCCATGGACGTCGTTCCCGACGGTCTCCTTCCGGGTCCTGCTCATGAGTGGCGTCCTCCTCGGCCTCTCAACGCTCGCCCTCCTCATGAGTCCCCCGCGCTCAAGGACAAAGAATCGCTGACCGGGCGTGGCGGACCGCACAGGTCGTGCTCCTGAACTACGTTGTTGGTGCGTCTCCGCTCCCCATGTACTCTCCCGCGCTCGCCTGACCCGCGCGCTACCAGGCCCGACAACACGCAGACGTCTACGTCCACACCGCTCCGACCATCAGTACTTCTTGCAAACGTCTAAAGTGTCTAAAACGTCTAAAATTTAGACAAAATTCAGTTAGACGTTTTAGACGTTTTAGACATGTTAGATGCATAGACAGTACTACAGGCCTGCAAGGTTCTGCAAGGCCTCTCATTACAGGTGAGAGCTTAATACCAATAAGGGGACTATTATATCGATAATTCACAACAATATAGATGTTCGAGGAGGACAAATATATTGGCATCTAGCTACTCAGCACAGGCGCATCTATGGCTATGTTCTCAACACTCGTCCTCCATAAAGAGCCCTCATAGCAAGTGGGCACCGACACAGGCCATACAGACGAGACGGGAGATGCAAGCAATGTGCTGATGTGGAGGCAAGATGGGCAAGACAGATGGTGCAGACGCAACACGAGGGTGAAGCGGGCAATGCGGGGGAGGGCGGTGTGGACGATACGGACATTGACGCGGGGGATATGCAGTGGCGATGTGGGCAACATGGGTGAGAGATGCGGGTGACGCTAGGGCGACATGGACATTGACGTTGCGTCTGCCTCACCCGGATACGGGTATGTGCGACGCAGGCGAGGTGGTGATGCGGATGAGTCAGCGGGGGACATGACATGGACACGGGTGAGGTGGATGACGTGGGTGAGGATGATGTGGGTGCGTATGACATGGACGTTGGTGCGGGGACGATGCGGACAAGGGCCGGCGACGTGGGCGACATGGGTGGACGGTGCGGGTGAGGTCAGCGACGCGGGGACCCAGGCGAGGTTGGCAGTGCGGAGGTTGGCGCGGGGACAACGCCGACGCGGGCGGGCGACGTGGGCGCGAGAACAACGTGGGTGCAGGCAGGCGATGCGGGCGACTTGAGTGGGCGGATGATGCGGGCGCGGACAAAGTGGGTTCGGGCATCGTGGGGGTGGGCGCAGGTACGACACGGACACGGGCGGATGATGTTGGTGGGCGATGCGGGCAACGAGGTCGTAAGGGCTCGCTGAGGCGATTACACGACCATGGGCAGAACCTCATGTCAGCGAATCCGACATTCTGAGGCTGACTGCCGAAGCTTACCTGGGACACCGCGGGCGCGCACTCTGGTCGTCCATGCGGTATGCAAACACCACGGAATGACTGAGATCGGACCGAGTGAGCGAAGGAAAGACATGGGCTGGGAGACAGGTTGGCAACCTGGGCGGGGAAAGTGGGCGATGTGAATGCAGGCGCGAGACAAGAGAGGCGGATGACACGTACGAGATGGGCGGCACGGACAGGCGCGACGCGAGACCGAGAGGAGAGACTCAGGCGGGTGAAGCGGAGCCGCGCGAAGGAGCCAGGGCTGCTGTGGGCAACGATCCAGCCCCAGCTACGACTACGCATGAGGGGAAGAGGTAGGCGGGCGATGTGCGACATAGCGGCAACGGCTGCGCTGGTGGGATGAGCATCCCGTGCACGCCCGTTGGGGCATACTCGTCGTGGGGACAAGGTCGTGGGGTGGCCGGAGTCTGGGAGGCTGTGGGCGAGGCGGGGAACGCAGGAGGGCACAACGGCAGACTCACCAAGACCAGGGGCTATAACAGCCCATCGAGGAAGCCACGGGCGAGTGGCACGTTCGAGTGCTCCTCGGAGATGTTGCACCAGCTAGGAGGGAGGACGGGGAGGACGGGGAGGACGGGAAGGACGAGGGAGCCAGGACGGGGTGCCAGCGGACACTGGACGAAGGGAAAGACGTGCTGGCAGATGCTGGCACCCAGCTCCAGACGCGTGGGAATCGACACGCTTTGCGTGGACTCCAGCGCTTGGCACTGCCAGCACTCTGCTCGTCCTCGTCGTCCTCGTCGTCCTCTGGCCCCTTGCCCGTCTCGCTCTTGCACACCTCGCTGGTGTCGCCCTCACCCGTTCTGCTCTCGCCATCCCTGCCACCTTGCCCGTGCCAATCCGCGTCATCCGCATAGCCACATTGCTCACTTCACCTGTCTCGCCCTCGCCCTTATCTCTCCTGCCTCGTCTGTCTCGCCCGCCTGCCCTGTCTCAACCCCCTCATCCGTCTCACCTGTGTCGCGTGTCACCCTAGATCCCACCCAGCTTCCACCGTCTTGCACACGCTTGTCTCACCTGTCTCGCCCACTTTGCCCACCTCTCTCTCTCGCCCGTCTCGCCCTCGCCCATGTCAATAACGTCGTTCCTGCGTCATCCACGCCGCCACGTTGCCTTCACCCGCCTCACCGTTGTGTTGCACACCGCCCATCCCACTCACCGTCTCTCCTGCAGCCAAAAACAATCGCCGCTTTGCCCATTTTGTGCACGTCTTGCGAACGTGGGCGTGGCCCTGACCTGCCCCTCTATAACAGTAAGTGCCCCATCCATCTGTTCTGGCACGCAACTCTGATGCATCCTCCCGCACACGCGCACTACCGACGTTGTAACTCCCCATATCGCCACCTTGCCCACGCCGTCGCTGCCTCTCGCCTGTGTTACCTACCCCCCTCGGCTGACAATTTGTGAGCACTACGGCTCCGTCTCCGCTATCGCACGCCCCGCACTGACGCTGACGCTACCCCGCGCTCTCGCAGGCAACTGCGACACCCACGCGCAGAAGCGCTGGATGTGCTGCACTCAGACGAAGGACATCGTCAGGTCTGAGAACGGTGTGATGAAGCCCAATCACGACATGGAGCAAGGCACTGCCCAAACACGCGCGTGCGTCGGTTCAAGCACCAGTGCCCCCATCGCCCCCACGCTCGTCCAGGTGAGCAGCCCCCGTGCACGCGTCAATTTCATTTCGCTGTGCAGTCGCTCACGTGCTTGTTTAACCTCAAGGTCAAACCGTCGCCCATTCACCCACATCCACGCCCGAGCCCATGTCTCCCACCTCGCGGCACCATCACCTCGCCTGCGGCACCTGTCTTGGCACCGTCTTGCCCCGGCGTCACCCACCTTACCCACGTCCGCGTCGCCCACATCGCCTGCCCATGTCGCCTACATCGCCGCCCCGTGTCCGCGTCGTCCCCGCGCCAACGTCCACATCGCCCGCGCCCGCGTTGTCCGCACCCGCGTCACCCGCACCTACGTCTTCCATCCCACCCACCTATGTCGCCCACTTCGCCTGCGACGTGCGTCCAGCGTCGTCACCTAGCCAGTGTCGCCGGTGTCACTACCTCATCCACGTCCGCTTAGTTTACGTCCGCGTTGCCCATCCATATCGCCCACATCACCCGCCTGTGCCCGGGTCATCCCTACACCATTGTCCACGTAGTCTGTCCCACCCACCTGTGGTGCTCACCTTGCCCTCGGGCCTCAATCACCGTCTCCACGTTGCCACCATCTCGCCCCTGTGTCACTCACATTACTGGAGTTGCTACCCTGCTTGTATATCTTGTTCAGTGTCCTGCTCTGTGTCATACCATTGTTAGTAATCAATATATCTTGTTTTGAGCCTTCCTCTTTGGTGTGAGCACTGAGTGTACAGATCTCGAAAATCACCTATGTCTAGCATGTGTGCAGATGACGTCTAAAAATGTCCAAACATCTAAAATGCTCTAAAAATGACATCTAAGTGATCTAAGTGTCTAAGATGTCTAAAACGTCTAACACTCTAAAGTTAGACACTTTAGACACTTTAGACGTTTGCAAGAAGTACTGATGACCGCCCTCGGCGCGCTCACCGTCATCCGCCCCATATCCGGCGCGGTGTTCCCCGTGCGTCCCCTCACTGTGTACACGAACGCGGGCTCACGAGCGCTCGCCGGATCCGTGCGCAGCTCCTCGACGCAGCTCTTCAGGACGCTCAACCCGCGCTGGGTGTCGACACTCCTCAGCTGCGTCGCGGTCCCGATGATCCCCATCCCGTTCGCGCTCAAGAAGTGGGGGCCAGCGCTCGCACTACCTCCAGCAGGACGCGGTGTAGATCCGAACGACGAACCGGTCTGTGACCGCAGCAACCCTCGAAGCACGAGGGGCGTGGGATCGAAGAATGAACGGACGAATGAACTTGTTATGACCAGCGGACCTCCTCCACAACACCTACCGCATCGCCCCCACGTCGCCCGCCTCACCACCCCATGTCGCCCACATCCCGTGCCCACCCCCTGTCGCCTGCAGCACCCACCTCATCCATGTTGCCCACCTGCTTCCCCTGTGTTGTTCTCGCCTTACCCATGTCTCTCCCATCACCACCTTGCCTGCTTCACCCGTGCCAGAGACGTTATTGTTTGTAGCCTGTAGCCTGTACTTCGTAGCATGACAAACATATATATTTGTTGCTTCTCCTTCATGCTTGTGTGATTTGATGAGTGCGTTATAGGAGCACGTTATGTCAGATGAGGGTCAGACTGTCAGATTGGTGAGGGTCAGACATCAGACTGTCAGAATGGTGTCAGATGAGGGTCAGATGTCAGACAGCCCAAAAATCTGACAGTCTGACCAATCTGACACGTGCAGAATTACTGATGCATACAGCCACCCGGTCGAAGTAGTTGTCGATGTTCAGTCCCAGTCTCCGATGTGCTGTTGCAAGAGTTGTTGCTGGCTTCCGAGGCGCAATCGGGAGAGGCTGCATGATCTTGATAACGTTGAGGTGGTCTTTGAGTCGTTTGTCACAATCTGCGACAGTTGTGTGCTTGAAGGCGTTGTCGATGACGGTGAGGAGGTAGATGAGGCGGAACTGCGGCGCCTCGATTGTCGCAGGTGCGAGCAGCCGTTCCGATGGGTCTTGAGTGAGATCACGGAGAGCTGGACGTGGTGGGAGACCGTTGTCCTCATCCGGAGGCTCCGACTCTCTGTGACCACCGGAACGCGTAGGAGAGGACGGCGCAATGTTGTCCAGATGATCTGCAGGGTAAAGCGGAGGGGAGTATGCTGGATCAGGAGAGGGCGACCTTGAGAGTAGTTGCCCAGTGGCCCCAGGTGAGATCGGAGACTCAGCACCAAAGGCAGGATCTGCGGAAAGGTCATCCAGACCTGAAGCGGGGGGGCGGGATTGGGAAGGAAGGAGATTGTCGACAGAAGCACTGAGACAAGAACCAGAGGTAGTGCTGTCGTCGCGGCCCAGTGGTGCAGAGGAGTGGTTTTGCTGCCGGCACGTACGTTTGCCGTCGCGTCGTGCGTGCATTGCTGCTACGTGCTCAGTTACGATTCCGTAGCCTAGAGGTTCCGTCCTGCAGTGTGTGCAGAAGCAGTGGATGTATCTAGGTGTAGAATTGCGCGGCATGTTGATAGGTAGCCAGTAGGGAGGTAATGCCGATGTGGGAGGGAATGAAGTGCGCATACAATGACCCCGACTCATGCGCTCGCGCGCGCGATGCCGGTGAGTCGCGCCGGCCGCGCGCGAGCAAAGTCCAGCTGGATAAGCCCTGGATTGGGACCTTTCAAAGACTTGTCAGCCATAATGGCTCGATTATCCTCTCACGGGGCCACAACCCTTTTAGGGGTACTCAGGAATGTGCAAGGAATCCGTCAGGAATCCGCTCATTTCACACATATGTTACACTACAGGGAATCTGCTAGGACATCTGCAAGGAACTTGCCGGGAACTTGCTCATTCCGCGCACATTCCCCACCTTGGGAAATCCGCGGTTTCATGCGGTGGTGCACGTTGGCTGGGGCTGGTGCTACTCCAGGTGCTGCTCTGCCTCGGGCGACCGCTCCCGTCCGTGCTGGCGCGAGTGTGGGTTCGGTGGCGCGACGACGTGTAGTAACCAGTGGACGGGGCCGGTGGTGCTGAGAACGACCCCGATTGATTCCCGTATCCAAACCAGACCGGCGATCCCACAGGCGTAGGCAGCGAGTGCGCACGGTCCTGCGCGTGGTCGTGCGCGTGAGTCGCGGACCACGGCGAGTGCGAGTGGCCCCGCGAACGAGTGATGTTGTTCCGAGTGGGTCATCGGGGGCTCCATCGCCAGGTGCCTGCTGCTCAGCACGCCGAGGCCCTTGCGGCGTGGATGGCGTTGTACGAGGTCCGCGCGTCGCTCGAGAACACGTGCCGGCTCGGCCTGCGCACGCGCACGCGCCGGCTCGTCCTGCGTGTGCCGGGCCCGCACGACACGGAGGAGGTCGACGTGTCCCGCAGCGGCTGCGGCACCCCCTCGCGGACACGCAACCGGCGGTGCTAGAACTAGTGGTGGGAAAGGAGCAGTGCGCGATGGGGGCGGAGCTCCAGGGGGGGTTTCTGGAGGAGGAGGGGTGCTGGGAGAGCGTTAGGGAGCTCTCGCTCGAGCGGGAATTTGACGGGACGCACGAGCGGGCAGTGTGCGACGTCGTGGTGCGTGGTCTTGGATCCTGCTGTATTCGAGTGCGCGTTTGGCAGGACACCCTGGCGGGCCTGCTGAGTGCTCGTCGTTGTCCCGCTGTCAACGCTCAGGTTCAAGGTTTGCGGTGGTGCGCTTCGGCCATCAAGTCGGAGGGGTTCCCGCGTCGGATTGGTGTCTGTCACGACGAGCCGGAGGCCCGGAGCAGGTCTACGCAAAAGTGAGCGTTGTGGTACCCTTGCCAGAAGACCGTCAGAGGCCTGTTGGCACTGTGCGTATGCGTCGTCGTGAGCGCAGGGAGCACCGGTCGTAGGCACGAGTGAGACTGGAAGTGTGCTGGCACCGTCTGCGCTGAAGCTGGGCGCGCGTACCGTGCAGAAGCGAGCGAACTGGGGCTTGGAGACCCCATTCCCCCTCTGTAGCCGTCGGTAACGGCGGTACGACACCGTCATGTTGCCGTCGGTAACGGCCATACGAGCTCGTACGAGTTCCGGTCGTGTAGCCCGTCGGTAACGGTCGTACGAGCTCCCGTTATGTACCCCGTCCGAGACGGTCGTACGAGCTCCCTCAGGCGGCACCCACCATATTTCTGGTAATGAATGTAGCACGTAGCCACGTACGTTCTGAGCCCAGAATGCCCGCTTTTACGGCCGCGCGTGCGGTGGTTACCGCGCGGGGATGCACACACTGCCGGAGCTCGTACGAGCGCGTACCCCGTCTGAGACGGTCGTACGAGCTCCCTCAGGCGGCACCCACCATATTTCCGGTAATGAATGTAGCACGTAGCCACGTACGTTCTGAGCCCAGAATGCCCGCTTTTACGGCCGCGCGTGCGGTGGTTACCGCGCACCGAGGAAAACAGTGCCAGAACCTGTATGAGCTCCCTCTGGCGGCATACACCGGAATTGCGGTAATGGATGCAGTAATAGCCGCTTATGTGCCGAGGACAGAACATGTCGTTTTATTGCCGTGCGTGCGGTGGTTTACTGTGTGGTGAGAAAAACACTCCCGGAGCTCGTTGTATTCGCAAAGCAAGTCAATTACATAAAAACCCAAAGCGTAATCGATATAACGCACAGAAGCATATTCAAAGCTTTTCTATACTCTACCAACCAAGCAAAGACATAGTGTATTTCAACACCATA